GAGTTAACCAAGGATTGAAATCGGTTAGAGAACCACTGAAATCTAGGGAGTACTGAACAGCTATTTCATCCTAGTTTGGGAATCGTCGGCAGTACACACTCACCCCACAGGGGGTTCGAACCTAGGGCCGTCCGGTTACAAGACAAGCTCGTATACCATTCAGCCACGCCACTGGCACTAACTCACCTCGTTAGGCCACTTATAAGACTGGTAAAGGCTGAAGGTATGAAGTAGCAACCTTATCCTGTAAAAAATGATGAATACGACTGCTAACGAAACTACAGGCCTCTAGCTTAAAGCCCAATGTTCCAGGGGAAACTTAAGGGAATAAAAAGATATAGTGACTATCATGTATATGTAATCAAATTGACTGGTAACTAGGAAGTACTCAGTGTATTGTTTATAGTCATTCGTCTTGCTGTTGACTGAATTCTATCAGTTAGGTTCGCATTAGCTATTGCAGCTCACTATTTGAATTGATAATAAATAGATGGAAAAATTCAATGGGAACACTTTCATCTAGCTTTCGTACTTACTGGTACGATATATTTACAATCCAGAAGAACGAATTCCACCCTGGTGATAAATCACAACGTAGGCCATCACAGAGTAGTCGAAAATTGAATAACAACCTTTTATAAATAGATGGATAGTATACAGCTGTCTAGATTGACAAACTATCGCTTTATGACACTGGTAGGTAAGTTGACCTACAAACTTATTCATCTGAAAACTGGATGTTGCAAAGCACACAACGCATGTTTCATATATTTCGATTTGCAAATATTACCATATCTAGTTGTTTAAACAGCTACGCATATGAGTAATAGTCATTACATGGGGTTCCTAATGGAGCAGATGGTCTTAACAGCACACCTCCATTTCGTCTTGCTTTTTGTAGCCCTGTATAGCTGGCTTCACAAATGTTCGGAATCCGTCATCTCCTCCTCACACGACCTACTCCATATTACCCTTATAACAACACCCATCATGCCACTCCCCATTCTAGTTCCTCTCGAATTCCCGGCTCATGATTTCATATAATGGTCCCCTCAGTGTATGTCATATCATCGCCTTTTCCTTCTACATATTTAAGGGGGGGAAAAGGTCCTTGGTTGATTCGTTCCCAGTTTCCTGTTATTTATCACTTCTAGCTGGCTATCTGATCTCCATCCTCGAGCTGGTGGAGGTAGCTTCTGACAAAAGTCTGAAGCCTATTGGAAGTGCTTTAGGTGACACATCGACGTTCTGAGACATATAGAAGCACTAATTAATTCGATATTAATGTTAGGAATCCTAATTCTGCTTTATATGCTTAGTGCAGTGGATTTCCACGCTGACTTCAATCCTTCCTTGGACATCCTCATCAGTGCATCCGCCATTAGTTAGAAAGATTCTCTCTAGATGAGTGAGGGAAGTGATTTCCTACAAGTTTCTCTTACTGACAGTGACTGCTGTCTGTTGTTGTTGTTGACTGTCAGTTATCCTCATTACCACCATCGTCTTTATGTTCACCTGCAGTTCTGTCTTCTCTGTCTACTTCTTCTGCCAGCTTGTTGGTTTTCTCCAGTTGATCTTTGAGTTTATGTGACATTAGACATAGATCGCCGGTGAAATCCATATCTTCTAGAGTTTTCTAATGGGTCCAACGTATTGCCTAACTGGGTCAACCGACAGCGTCCTTTAACCTACAGAGCTTGCCTCTGAGTGAGTCTATAGGTTTAAATGCCGCTCTAATTCCTCTATATTCAAAATCCCACGTTGGGTCTCAGATGTCCCCTCCTTATATGGTATAACAGTAGATGACTTATATTCTCTCCTATTTATATTATCATTATTAGTTTCACAATTTTTTTTATTTTGCTTTTGGCCTTTTCTGGCCTTCCTTATTTGATATCGACGCTTCTTCTATCTGTTTTATTTCATCATTTAGGTCTTATATTGTACTACTTAGTGCTACTGCTCGGTTTGTTAGACACTTAACTAAGCCTGCCTTTACAGTTAACGGATGAAATGAATTAAAGTCTAAATATCTATTAGAATGCTCTGGTTTTTTATAAACGCTAGCGTGCAGTTTACTTCTTTTATTCGTTTTATTTTACAATCTAATTAGATTGTTCTCGAAACGTCATCAGTAAACATTACTGTATAACACTGTGAGACTTTATCAAAATAAATTTTACCCATAATGGAATGTTATTCTACCACAGTGCACAAGTTCTATTCGTATATAAGTTTGTGTTTGATAGAATGTGGAATTTTCAGCATATATTGCACTTAGTCTTCACATAAAATTACATATTAAGAGAAAAAATAATGAAAAGTATATTTACATTAATAATACTGTCAGTAAAAATGAAAATTTCAATCTAAAATTAATGGAAATAATGATACAAATATATGAATGATAGAAAGAATAAAAAGAAGCGTTTCATAAGTGTTTTACAGTAAGTTAGTAGTGTGCTGTCTAAAACTTTTGTCATCACATAAAATGCGTGTCACGCATGACATCATTGTGTTTTTGTACTGAGTCACCTGAGCACAAACTCTTTTATAACTGCTTCTAGTCCCATCTGATGGGATGCAAGTTAAGAGTTGGGTGTCAAGAAAACGTTCACATTCCAACAAGATGATATTCGCCAGAAAATATCAGACGAAAGACATAGTTCAGTGTTATTTGGTGAATTTATGGATAAGGGAAGTCTGTTACTTACTGCTTTTAATCCCTGACATAACAAATTTTGAATAATAGTAGAAAATGGAGCAATCTATAGTTTTAGAAACTTTGTAAAACAACTCCCAAGGTAACAGCCGCCTATATTAGTATTCCAACGTGTTTTAACTCTTAATTCCACCTTCACATTGTGCTAAATTAAAACATGATAGAAAAGATGAATACCATTTTGAACTCAGGTAACATGTCATCACAGTTCACTAAGCCCTAACATCAGAAAAAGTAAAGTACAAGTTTTTCTCCATGTTAAATGAAGTAAACTCCTCCATGAAAGCAATCAAGTTCACTTACAAGACAATCAGAAATCCCTCAAATTAAATCATCACTTTCATTGACAGTTTAATTAGCTGAAAGATTGAAAACTTGAGTGAATTACCAGTGCTAGTCATAGAGTATTATTAACTTCATTTGGACATTATTTATTTGTTTTTTCATGGGCTCTTCTTTTTTTTGATGACAGCTTCATTTCACAGAGTATTTTTGGTACAGGTATGGAATTCTCAGCATGTGATATTGGTACATATAAATCCAAATCGACTGAGATTAGCTGGTTAAGTCATTGCCTTTAATGTCAGGGCACAGATTCACACTGTTGTCTACTAAAATTAAACGATTAGAAAGGGCCAGCTCTTCCCAATAAGTTCAGTTCTTTAAATGTCTTCTGTATTACATTTTAATAGGGATTTCTCTTCTCTTACATGTTAAACTATCCTCATTTAGTGATGATATGACATCTACTAGGCTATCGAAACTCTGTTCTGGGAAAACATCATACTTTTAATGATACTACGTTGCCCCATTAAAGGAGTTTGGCATTTCAGTTACCCAAGTAACAGTGGCTGATTCGAAATTCATTAATTCTTGAATGTTTTATATTTTCGCCTTTAATCTACTGCATTATCGTTATTTTCGGACCATGGAGTAAATTTATTTGACAAATTCACACAGTAATGCAGTAGTATTTATTTGCTGAATACGATTTGAGCACACTCAACTACTGCTCATAGTCAAATCAAGGCACTCACATACCTTTCAAACTTTGTCAATATAATTCCACTACTTCTTATCCTTAGATTTTATCGGTAGCAATATTTCCCATATCTCTGCTACTGGCGTTGCGTCATTCGTATTACACGTGTTAGATGTAGATTCGATGGACAGGGATTCATTAGTCAATCTGTCGCTGCGCCTGTCCATATTACATTTTAGGAATGCAGCTCTTTCTCACTTTGTTATGTGATTGTGTGTGATGGAATGCATTTCAACCACTGAGTCTTTCTTTGAATTATTCGCCTTCTTGGGGTCTGACTGTCTCCAATCTGCTGTTTTGGCCTATGTACTTCAACTTACAATTATTGGAAGGTATTTTTTAGATTATATTATTTTGTTTAATTTAGTTGGTAGAACCTCTTAGCCTACAGTGACTACACCTGAGTGAGTTTATAGGTTTAAATACCATCTTAATCCCTGCTTTGTTAAGAATCCCATATAAGGTTTGAGATTTCCCTTCCTTACATGATTAATCTATAGATGGCTTAAATTCTTTATTAGTTGTCCTGTGGTCACTAGTTCTGGTGGTGCTTCCTTTTTTCTTATGAGCTTTTGTATTTTTAATGAACGTAATGGGATAGCGGTATAGGAATAATGCTTCTTCTACCTGTTTAACTTATTCATTTAGCTTCTCTGATGTATTTACTTGAAGTTATTGCTCAGCATGCCTTTGCAGATAACGAATGAGATGAATTAAAGTCTAAGTATTGATTAGGATGAATTGGTATTTTACGAACAATAGTGCATAACGTGCTCTGTACGGTTAATTTCATTTCATAATCTAGCACTGCTAGTTCTCCTTGTTCATTTTTTAACCAAAATGCTAATTTTATTCCCTCTATTATTGGATTTATGTGTGGGTGTGGAGAAATCGCTCTAATTGGTGATATTGGTGATCGCACTGCTACACCGAGAACTTGAAAACAACAAACGTGGTATACAAGTAAATTCCTGGGATAGTTTCTTCAACAGGTAGCTTTGTACTATAAGTGAATATAAGATCAGAAATTAGTTCTTATCTGACTGCTCTCAGATCCTTAGCGATTTGTATATTAGAATGATTCACACCTGGAGGAAGAACATCTGAAAGAAAAACCTACTATCTTGCGATGTATGCAATCATAAACAATCACATAATACGGTGAAATAAACTACAATTCTAAAAAGTGATAGAGTTAGGTGGAAGGAGAGAGAAGTTCATCACCAAACACATACACTAGGAATGAGTTAACGCCAATATTATGCAGTGATTGGATAGTTTCGCAGCCCAGTAGCCTGCAAGCTAGTCATTCCTAAAACCGGATGTTTATTTCAACCAATGGGCATATAAATGCCAAGGTTAGACGACAAGTGACCTTTTCTTCAAAACTATATTTCACTGCTTCGAATAGTAACAGTCTAGCTCAAAATAAAGTTGTAACCTTTACTGCAAACAGATTTTAATTCTTAGGATAGTTTTAACAAGTCAAAATAATTCTTTCAATTCAGTATTGTTTAAATGAATGTGACATGAAGGGATTTACAAATGTGCAATATCTTGTGATCCGTGATTTTCAGTTTGAAAGATTCCATAAACCAAAACAAAATTACCATTATTTCCTTCATTTCTTTTAAATAAAAAGAATTTACACCATTTTAGATAACATTTTTGTGTTTATCTATCAGTTGACAATCAGAAGACAATAAAGTCAAATTATTATATATACAACTTATTTTAAATAAATTATTCCCGCATTTATTCCTCAACGGATAGATTAAATATGTCAATCAATTGTGTTTATTGATCATTGAACATTGAAACTTGAAATAGCGCGCCTAAATCAGTCAAACAAAGAGATTTATACAGGTAAAGATGAGTATTATAAGAGTGAATATTCTCCATAAATTACACATTATTACCCTTTAAAATTGTCATTCAACTTTCATTTCTATTTACATTAATTATACACAGATGGAACAGAATACTGTACAATATCGACTTCAGATAGCCTACGAGAAGCTATTGTTACAATGATTTATGATCGTGAGGATAAAACACCTTTATTATTTGCTTCACCTGTATTTCAGTTAACTGAAACTAAACTGCCTTCCTTCTATGGTGGATGTAGACCAGAAAATTTACCTAAGGATTTCAGAGATCGTGCAGCTAAAGCAGAATTCGCCAAAGATACTGATTATACACAACCGGAATTTCCTATCAATCTACAAATGATATGTAGTGTATGCAAGACGAAAGATTGGCAAGGTGATCGATATACATGTGTGATCTGTCCAAAAATTGTATTATGCCCTAACTGCTTTAAAAATAATAAACATTCACAGCATCCTGTACTGATTACTAGACGGAATACTGAATTCCCTTGTCAGGTATTACAAGCAGTGAAAATTGTAGCTGCTGATGTCAATGTAGAGGATTCCGAAGATTCTGCTGTGGAGGAAGAAGAAGAAGTTGGAGAAGGAGGTGAAGAAGAAGAGGAAGAAGAAGATAATGACACTGAGGAACGGTGGAATACATCCACTTCGCGAACATCATCATCATCCGTTGTCACAGACGTCTCTGGTGAAGTCTATAAAGTATTGTTTACACTTCGTGAGATGGGTTTTCAGCAAAGGAGTAGTGAATTGACTGAATTAATTATAAAAGAGCGCGGTAATTTACAGACAATAGTTGAAAAGTTAACAGACTGAAAGCAGAATCTCACAGATATCTACAATGACACAAAAAACAATTTTCCATTTCACTGCTTTGTTCAAAAATCAATGTGTATATATAGAACGTTCTGCATAAAACTTAGTTTTGTTCTTATAATTTTGTGAAAGATAACTTTCCCTAAAACATTTTAGAATAACTAGTTTGTTTTATTTTAATGAAATATTTTAACTACTGATAAGTAGGTTAAAGCATAATTACAAAAGTATTTGTGCATTTAAGTTACAACATTGCTCACTAATGCAAAAACAAATGACTCAAATGAAGAATTTAAATGAATACTACCCTGTATAGTTATTTGTTAGGTGGCAAATTTTGTTAGCACGTTTTTAGATAGTAGCTGCTTCAAAATGGTCGACAGATAGTGATGTCAGCAAAATGCTTAATGTTTCCAGCATTTCTTGTTTTGTAAGCCACCCAACTGCGTTCAAGAGTAGTAACCAACCCAGACAGGAATTATTAAAACGGTTTCAGCTTACCACTACGAATTTTATGAAGGGGTCTGTAGAGAAACTTCGAGGAGTGACACAGAATGTTTTGGGTTGGGCAGTATTGTATCAAATGATGCGTTATCGATTATTATTATCATAACCACTATTACTGCTTGATATTTCACGAGTAAATACCTTGCTATAAGACAAGCTGAAAATTCTATACTCTATTAAGGATGGAATTTTCAGAATAATTCATGGAAAAAAACGTCCATTCAGACACGGAAATAAGAACAAAAAATACAGCCTAGAGTTTCTTTTCAATGGATTCCTCTTATTTAATTTATTATTACTCTATTTGGTTCTAAGTTGAACATATAACTTGGACAGCATATCTCCATTCTGTTCTCTGACGGTCCCAATATCCCTATTAGCTTTCATATCCCCCTCACATGATCTCTTCCATGTTACACTTGAACCAAGTCCCAGTTCTCCGTTTCTCACTTGGATCCCACTTGACAGCCTAGTTCACGATGTTAGGCAACAGTCTCCTCAACGAATGTCCAGTCTATCTGCATTTGCTTCGATATACCTGCCGGGCAATAGTTTCTACATCAATTCTTTCTCAGAATTTCTTCTTGCTAATTCTTTCTGGACATTTGGTCTTCAGTATAGAGTGAGAGTAGGCTGCTGTTGATGAAAGTTTGAAGTCTGCTCAAAATACTTTTAGTGACACTTCAGATCTCTGATCTGTGTTGTAGCATGGATTTGACATTAGTGTTGAAAATCCGGATTTTGTTCTTTATGCTGAGTGCAGCAGACTTCCACATTGACTTCGGAATAATGAATGTTTGTTATGCTTTTTTTGATCTTGTCTAGCTTTGAGATCCATATCTGTGCTGCTTGTAGTTGAAGTGATGCTACTTGAGTAAGTGAAAGAGGTGACATCCTTCAATTTTCTCCCATCAGCAGTGATTCACGTTGGCTGTTGTAAATAAGTCATCTGTTTCACCTCCATCTTCTGAATGTCCACATTAAGTCTCATCCTCACTGCCAGTATCATCTGCCAACTTGTTGGTTTTCATCTGTAGACCTTCATGTTTATGTGAAATCAGACATAAATCATCCGCAAATTTAAGATCCTATACAGTCTTGCTGTTGGTCCAAAGTATTGCTGACTTCTCGTTCCCCACAGTTGCTGCATAATCCAATTCACCATGAAAAGGAATATCACTGGTGATAGTAGTCAACGTTGTCTTATTCATGTCTTCACTGCACGGTGAAAAGTCTCTTTTCGACAAATTCATTCACTTAACCATACAATCATATTTATATATAATTTTTTGTATGTATGTGTACGTGTCACAAGAATAAAAATTGGTCTGTAGTGCCATTTACGTCATCAGAATATTTTAAAACAATAGGAAATAGTCAAAATTGTAATTGTATGGGTGTGGGGGAGAGGGTGAAGTGACAAAGTTAAACTTTCGACACCACTAACAACCAATCACCAAACGACCTTGAAAGGACCAATCACAGTGAAGAGGCATAAATTATGAATAGAAATGTATATTTATAGAAAAAAAGCATGAAACAGATAATAAAATAGTTACATGGGATATCTTTCTCGAACATGTGAGAGAAACATCTCCCTCTTTAGCATGGGACTGTCAATGCTTTTCCATCTGCTATCCTTTCGACGAATCCCTTTCGGAGGGAGGTGTCATACAAACCTATTACCCAAATATTGTTCGCTCGCTGGCGACCACGGTTGTATTTCTTTTTTACCAGCACTGTCTCATCGACACGCACGATAACGTCTTCCCCACCCAGCAAACAAGTGATTTTCCCCATTTTCCATGATGCGATGTCTCTGCAATGCTGGTACCACTGAACTGTTGAGACATAGCTATTCTCAATCTCGGCAGCTGCTGCTCTCACAGCCTGTTTCAACACCAATTAGTTGCAGATATACAAAATCTGGGTTAGGGAGAGATGCGACCTAGGGAAAGTAAGTTCCTACGAAATATTAAAATTATCAGCTTACCCTCTCCAGATGAACAAACCCATCAGTTGATTTGGTATAGCTTTTTAAAGTAATGACACCACCACACAAACAAATTCGCTCTTTCCGGAGCAACTCAAATCCAGGGAATACTGGAAAACACTAACCTCCTCGAATTGCAACTGTAGCCTTGTAAGGTTACGCATTAGAAATGAATCAAGCGCTATACAACATTGAACTGCGTTCGTGAATCTCATTGGATAATTCGCTGATTGGTAGTTAGTGGTGTCGAAAGTTTAACTTCGCCGGTGAAGTTTAGCACGTTTTGACTAAGCACACACCATATATGACATATGTCCAGAAAAGCTGGATGTTTTTGAGAAAGCATGAAGGCAAATATTAAAATAAATCATGTTATGGGTCAAGAGAAGCCTAGTTAAGAAAATGATGTCATATGGAACAATGCAAAAAATAGTATCAGTATTAAGATATTGATAACAGCTGAGGTGGGAATTATATCCAAGGTAGAAGGAGGGAATGAAGACGTTTCTTCTGTGTATATAAATCAGAGTTTTCCACCTGAATCATTAAAATCTCAGCAATTCAAAGTGTATGAAGGCATTACGTTCTGACATTGCAGATAACTTTGAATGAATTCCACTTAGATATTAAGTAGCCAGTGTTGAATCTACGTTCAATTGTGACACTCCTTATTGATCCTTTTTTACCCTTCCGTAGGTAAGTGGGATAATGTTCCTTGGCTCTTTTAGATAAAAAAAAATCATCAAACGACTTATATTCCTCGCTTTATGGTAGCATGTGAATTGGTAGACACACACACAAATGGTGAAATGAGATAGTCTGCCTTTAGGGTTATTAGAGAACATTGGGAAGCAAGAGCATGCCCATATTAGTGTAGAAGCAAAGAATGTTCTTTTCAGGGTGTTTGACACATTCCCTTTCTTGGAATTTCAAAAAGAAGGTCACCTCTGAAAGTAATGCACACGTACAGAATCTTCTTCAGTACAGAGATGTGGTTTTCTTTTTCGGTTTTTGGTTTTATGTGATTATCTGCGAAAAGTGTGGGATGACCACTTGCAATTAGTGTCTTCCTTAAATGTGTGATCTCTTTATCTACAGATACGTAATAATTTAATGTCTAGTTTGTGATTATCAAATAGTCTACAACGACGAGGTGACGGAAATCATAACAGCTTTGATTCCGTACGGCAGTATTTCGAATTCTACAGGTGATACAGTCATCCTCATTTCTCCCATGACCACTTGAGTGGATACAAAGATGACTTCTGGAAAAGTTTCTCCTTTAAAGTAGCCACTTATCATTCTAAAGAAACGTTTTAACCTACTACTGGCATAGTGACAACTAAATGTTGTTGAGACTCACTACTCCACATCAATTTCACGTTCGTGAATGTCTATAGCCCCTTGAAGTGTGATGAAAAGCCTTACGAACTCTTACAGTAGATGCGTCAAATAATCAATATTCCTTAGACTGATCTCGATTGTTATTTGTTAATTTTCTTCCACAACACTGGAAGCATACATCTTCTCACTTCTTGTAAGGCTAAATAATATTTACACTGAAATTAAATATGCTTATCTCAACAATCACGTGCTACAGAAAAAAAAACCAACAACAAATTGATGTGAATAAACAAAAACGATTGTTTATACTAGTGACAATAATAATAACAGGAAAGAGAATAAAATGTGATCAATGTACATATGAAGGAAAGATTATTTTGATGTGGTGGTTACATTGAGGAGCTTTCATCGACCTTCCCTATACACAACAAATTCAGTCCAGAATTCAATATGAAGTGAAGTTATTTTGAATTCTTCATGAATGACAGAGAAGAAAAGGAATCAGACAACAAAATATTTATTTGTGCAAAACTTTATACTACTGGCTGACTGAAATGAGTAGTCCTATGCCTCTCACATCAACTATTACTGCTTACTAGCTATATAAAAATGATCTAAATACCAAAGGATCATTCGCTCGTTTGCAGACGAACTCATCAGTAGTGTACGAGGAGCCGAATCAGTTCAAACCCCGGATTTCTGGCCATCTACTTAGGCGAACTGTGTAAATCACGTGTCAAGTTTACAATCAGATTTAACAAAATGCCTTTATTAGATATATGAACAGACACAGAACAGACACTGGTCTATGAAGTTCCTTAGGAATCTAAGTCAGGAGAACAAACACAACGAATCTAGAAACACAGGTATACAGGAACTCAGCACACACAAGCCGCATACTCAACTGCAACAGCAATAATTCACTACAGAAGGCTAAAGAAACCGCACTGTAGTGTTGAAGAGAACAGAAGGGATGGTTCCATTCTATTTGACACAGACAGTGTAAAAGAGAAGCATTCACAAGAGAGTTAAACTTCTCCACTATTCCGGAAGTAAGTTTTCATCATTATTTCATTTTCGTTCTCCTCAGTTCAAATTTATTTTTCCGAAATTTCAATAGGGAACATTCGAAGTCTCCACATTTCCCCACAAAGAGGAGTTTGCTTAGAGGAAAATGGTCTCCCTTAACTTTAAAAAAATAAAGTGCTAATATAATACTCAACAGTGATGCTTGTAAACTCTTGTTACAGTTAAAACGATGTAAAACAATACAACGAAATGGTTATTAGTGACACTTCTGATCACTTACTTAAGTGTTCT